AGGCAGCTTCGTGGCGTTATGTGCCTACTTCGCTCAATCCGGCAGACTTGGTTTCGCGGGGGGTAGACGCAACTAAGTTGATAAACATGAATCTGTGGTGGTCAGGTCCCGATTTCATGGCTAAAGACGAGTCGGAGTGGCCTAAATTCACAAATAATAAAATACCGGAAATAGAATTACCGGAAGTAAAATGTCATAATGCAACAATTACTGAATCATTTATTAATTTTGAAAATTTTTCTAATTTATCGAAATTGCAACGCACATTTGCCTATGTTAGGAGGTTCATACATAATTTGAGGTATCCTAAAGATAAGCTCTTAGGTAGTTTAACAATTGACGAACTTAATCATTCTTTTTATTTTTTGTGCTCGGCTGCTCAACGTCAATCATTCGCTACAGAGTACGAAATGCTCAGTAAAGACAAACAATTAAATGCAAAATCAAAAATACTCCCATTGTCTCCTTTTCTGGATAATAATTTGATAAGAGTAGGTGGCAGAATAAGCGCTTCGTGCTATGCTTACGAAAAGAAGCACCCTATATTATTGCATTCTTCACACCATTTAGCAAAATTATTTTTTGAACGGGAGCACATTAAGCATTTACACGCCGGGCCACAGTTATTATTGGCCACGACTAGAGAGACCGTCTGGACGGTAAATGGAAGGCGGCTCGCTCGTAGTGTTGTTTTTAACTGTGTGCGTTGCAAGCGTTTAAACGGTAAAACTATGTGTCCAAAAATGGGAAACCTGCCCGCAGAGAGAATAACACCTAACTATCCTTTTTTGTCTGTGGGACTGGACTTCGCGGGACCGTTTATGATTTTAAATAGAAAGGGCAGAGGCAGTCGCTTAATAAAATGTTACATGTGTCTCTTTGTTTGCCTGCGATATAAATGTTTACATTTGGAAGTAGTCACTGATCTCACTAAAGACGCCTTCGTGATGACGATTCGTAGATTCATAGCTCGCCGAGGCAAGCCATCTGAAATTTTCTGTGACAATGGACGAAATTTTGTTGCTGCGGCCAAGGAAATTGGTAGTTTTTTATCTAAAAATACACAATCTTTGTCTGATTTTGCAACACAGGAAGGAATAAAATTTATGTTCACTCCTGCATACGCACCTCATTTTGGAGGCATTTGGGAAGCCGGCGTCAAGTCGGCTAAGTTTCACATTAAGAGAGTAATGGGCAATAGTCATTTAACATTGGAAGAAATAACTACATTATTCGCACAAGTGGAGGCTATACTCAATAGTCGTCCTTTATGTCCTCTCTCTTCCTCTCCTAATGACCTCCTTTCCTTGTCTCCAGGGCACTTTCTCATCGGGAGACCCTTGACGGCGCTGCCATCACCGAACCTAAAGGACGTGAAAGAAAGCAACCTGCGTCGCTACGCCAGGGTGGAAAAACTACATCAGCACTTCTGGAACCGCTGGCAAAAGGAATACATCAGCGAACTTCAACATCGATCGAAATGGAGAACAGATAATGCAAGTCTGACGATTGGAGACATGGTACTCATCCAAGAGGATAACATACCCCCCTTGAGTTGGCGCTTAGGGCGGGTCACTAAATTATTCCCGGGAGCTGATGGAGTCGCTCGTGTCGCTGATGTCCACACGCTGCGAGGTTCTGTGCGACGGCCCTTGGTTCGACTCTGCCCGCTGCTGTCAGAAGAGAAGATTCAGGGTTGAAAGAGTACTTTCAACGGGGCGGGAAGATGTTCCGGCTCATAATTCACCTACACACAGTTTGGTTGTGGTGCTTCATAAAGAGACAATTGCCGTCAAGTTTTTTGTAGGAGTTAGATGTGTCAGTTTGGTTTAATAAAATGAAATGTCAAAACTTCACTTACCTTTTGGTCGTCTACAAGACAACATGTAAATCTAAATTGCATTATAATCAGAGTTCAAAAAGTCATCAAGAGTTTTATTTGGCTCCATTGTGTCAACGACAAGACACTCAGATTTATTTTTTTTAACAGATTCCCTATTAATTGCAAATATTTGAAAAAAAAATAATCACCTTCCTATCTTTGATGCAAGATACAAAATTTTTGCTAGAAAGATAAAAAATATGCTTTTAGCAGAACATTCTAAATTTTTCAACTTAAAAGTTTGAAAAAAAAAAAAAAGATCTTCCATGGGTCCAAAATAATTTTAAAAACTGCGCAGTTTTCTGAACTTTCATAATAACACAAAAAAACATGTACTTAATAGGCCATTATTTTCTGTAATCGCTCCACTAAAGTGGTAAGTCGGAGATTCCGTTACATGTTTTTGACTTTCTTAGGACTAACTAATGTTTGCAATCCCCTAAGTTTACGTTACGTAGAACACATTTAGAGACCCCCCCCCCCCCCCGTGACATGTCCGGCGGCCAAATGAAGCACACAGTCCGGCTTTTGTGTTTTAGGACCTAGCAACCCTATAAGGGCCCCTTAATCCTTAAATGCCCAGGGCCCCTAGTAGGTTAAAGACGGCTCTGATATGACTATTAGTAAATTCGGAAGTAAATATTCTAATGACGTACCTCCAGCGTTTTGGGCCAAGCGTAGAAACCGTACCCTGTAGACCTCAACCACGGCTTGTCCCATTCCTCGTCAGTCGTCGGTTGCCTGTCCTCTGACCAGATCGCCCACTCTATATCTTTTCTATATCCTGGACAAAATAATTTTCCATAACATAACAAATGTAAAACTCATGTAAGGGCTAGAGAGAGAGATAAAGACCTAGAGATTAAATGAAAGAGTCATTTGGATGAAATGTAAATTATTTAGTTTAAGCGACCCGACCAAGTTTCAATCTATGTAGCAGTCGTTCTAAAATCATTATTTTGATCTCTATCCTTATAAGATTTCTTGTTTTAATTTACAGATACCGGCCAAAATGCCTATTTTCGCAACATTTTCTAACTACATATCGTCGCCTTAGAGAGAGTCGCCTCGGGAATGAATTTGATTCATGCATTTTATGCATTACGATCAATTTTACAGAATACAGTTCTGGATATAAAAGCGGGTGAATATTTCTTTATTACTTAAGAGGTTTTCACTCGAAGGCGTCGATATGCTCTTAAAATAGCAGTAAGCTAGAGGCCCTTAGCTTATTTTTTTTGTGTTTAACATTGTATGTAATGTTGATATCCCAAAAAATAATTACATAAAAAACTCTCTCTCTTACTTCCTCCCGTGTTCTACTGGTGAAAAATCAGATCAATAATAAATCAGATGTTATAAGAATCTTCTAAAATGCCTACAAAAAGAAATAATCACCTGGCACATGTTTATCCGGCTTCGGAACGCCAGCCACCTCGTACGGGTCAACGTACAGTTTCTTCAACGGGCGCTTCCGTTGTTTCAGCACGTAATGTGTCAGTTTCTGCGCACTGCGTCGGACCGCTATGTCGTCGTGTAGCAGCGACTTGACGATCAGCTTGACGGCGCGTGGAGTGTATGGTGTTTGTACGGAGGGGCAGAAGGTAAGCATTTGCATTGCCAGTTCTAGGCGACGCCATTGGCTGGAGAGGAAAAAAAATGCAAATTAAAAATATTGCTGTTATTTTATTGCGGCGCGTTTTTGACAGATAAAGTAGTAGGAAAATTGCCATAAAGTATTCTAAAGGCTATTATTCCATGGTAATAAGATCTCTATAGACATACATGAAGTGGCAATGGGCAGGGCATATACACTCGCGAGCAAAAATATGGAATCACCCTATTTATTCCGAGCGATCCATTTTAACGGAGATATTATAAACTTAAAATTGATACCATAGATACATACAACACATAGTCATTCAGTTCTTAAGATCGCTTGGAACACAAAGGGGTGATTCCATACTTTTGTTCGTAAGTATAGTATGCAGATCTGACGGCCGTTGGGTTGGGGCAGCAAGGTTTTGGAGTGGAGGCTACGTACCGGAAAGCGCAGTGTGTGTAGGACGTCCACCCACAAGGTAGACCGACGACCTCATAAAGGTAGCGGGAAGGCACTGGATGCAGGCCGCCACCAACCGGCCATTGTGGAAATCAGCCAGGAGGCCTATGTTCAGCAGTGGACGTCCTATGGCTGAAATGATGATGATGAGACATACATTACATAGAAGATCTGCAATACTCACATATTAGGAGTCTCGGCGATGTTCACTAATTCATCTACCAAGGCCTTATACGTGGCCTCCGTCTTATCCGAAGCGGCCAGCTCCCTCTCGACAGCCGTGCTCAGCTGCTCAGCGAAGACAGCGTCAGTTTCCATGAGGTGCTTCACGAAGTACGCAGCGGCGTCCAGCGCTCCCTCCGAGATTGTCAGCCGAGTGTTCACGGTTGGGAAGTGGCGGTGGATTGAATCACTGAACGCTTGCTCCAGCCTGCAAAAAATAATACACTCTTTTCAATATTTCTTAGTTATAAAGTGTTGCGTTACACGATTTGTCACAGGAAGATAAAGGTATGTTTTAGAATAGGGCATGATTAAATAGTTTTACGTAAAGAAACTTTTTGATTTTGTGCGCACATTACACCGATTTGTTATCGACTAAAAGTTTGTAGTCTGAGTGGTATTTTAAGTAATCTCTCTAGAGTAGCAGCAGGCCTAATATTGGAAACAAAGAGCTACAGTTATAACAGCGGTTTGACAACTCATAGAAGTCCGAGGTCTTCGGGAGAAACACTTTTTAACCCGCAAACTACCGCAGTCCGTAAGACGTTTTATAGCATTTACGTCATAGATACGTGCTTGTGCTTGAAGATAATAATGAACTTGCAACTAACCTCAAAATACTGGGTTTCTCGCTCAATGGTGCTCTCAAAATAGCAGGCCATAGTGTCTTGACGACCTCCCAGTCTTGCTTAGCAATGAGGGGCCCGGCTCGTGGTCCCAGCATGATGTAGAGGGCGCCCTTGTGCTTGTTGTGCCATTCCTACCCCTCCCCGCCCGTAGCGAGTAACTCCACCTATATTGCTAGCGCTTGAAGGTAATGAACTTGCAACTCACCTCAAAATACTGGGTTTCTCGCTCAATGGTGCTCTCAAAATAGCAGGCCATAGTGTCTTGACGACCTCCCAGTCTTGCTTAGCAATGAGGGGCCCGGCTCGTGGTCCCAGCATGATGTAGAGGGCGCCCTTGTGCTTGTTGTGCCATTCCTCCCCCTCCCCGCCCGTAGCGAGTAACTCCGCCATCTTGGGAATCAGGGCTCGGTAGGAGTATGGGTAGTGGCTCAGCATCCAGTAGAGACGGATTTGTGCCAGTATACGGACCTGCATGAAAATAAGTCTGTTAATTCCATCACTTCGGAAAATCAATTATTATCATTGCTGAAGAGGTAATTTTTGTATTACAAACATGGTCGATCTATGATTATATTGGTGTATGGTTGTATTATCATTCTTTCTGTCCGGTCGTCGAGCAGATAGATTTCGTCCAATGACCCCAAGCTACCCATTCTTATCGCACGCGCTCGCGCAAAAATATTGCTTTCGCGACTGTGCGACGGGCAGCCGCAGTGAGTGTGCGAGCGCGACAGCAATATAATTGCGACAACTGTCTTCCTTCGTCGTGTCCTTGACTCGTCCCATAGATTGACCGCTTCTGTCGTATGCGTAGTCTGGCCGCCCTTGCGCGTCCCCTAAAGACTTCACCTTCGCTCTAACATGACTTACCGAGCTATAAGTGTTGATGGACAGCTCATACAGCGCGTATAGTGCTTGGAGCGCCGACGGTGTGATGCCTGCATCGCAGACTAGGTCCACCCTGGACTTGTCTTGCAGCCTGGCTGCGTCTGCCTGTAGCATGCGGAGTCTGGCTCTGATATGACTTACCGAGCTATAAGTGTTGATGGACAGCTCATACAGCGCGTATAGTGCTTGGAGCGCTGACGGTGTGATCCCTGCATCGCAGACTAAGTCCACCCTGGACTCGTCTTGCAGCCTGGCTGCGTCTGCCAGTAGCATGCGCGCCTATGTATCAGGTAAAGATGACTTACCGAGCTATAAGTGTTGATGGACAGCTCATACAGCGCATATAGTGCTTGAAGCGCTGACGGTGTGATCCCTGCATCGCAGACGAGGTCCACCCTCGACTCGTCTTGCAGCCTGGCTGCGTCTGCCAGTAGCATGCGAAGTCTGGCTCTGATGTCTTACCGAGCTATAAGTGTTGATGGACAGCTCATACAGCGCGTATAGTGCTTGGAGCGCCGACGGTGTGATGCCTGCATCGCAGACTAGGTCCACCCTAGACTCGTCTTGCAGCCTGGCTGCGTCTGCCAGTAGCATGCGAAGTCTGGCTCTGATGTCTTACCGAGCTATAAGTGTTGATGGACAGCTCATACAGCGCGTATAGTGCTTGGAGCGCCGACGGTGTGATCCCTGCATCGCAGACTAGGTCCACCCTGGACTCGTCTTGCAGCCTGGCTGCGTCTGCCAGTAGCATGCGAAGTCTGGCTCTGATATGACTTACCGAGCTATAAGTGTTGATGGACAGCTCATACAGCGCGTATAGTGCTTGGAGCGCTGACGGTGTGATCCCTGCATCGCAGACGAGGTCCACCCTAGACTCGTCTTGCAGCCTGGCTGCGTCTGCCAGTAGCATACGCAGGCGCGCCGCCCCTGCGGCATGTCTCAGCTAAAGATGCCTTACCGAGCTATAAGTGTTGATGGACAGTTCATACAGCGCGTATAGTGCTTGGAGCGCCGACGGTGTGATCCCTGCATCGCAGACGAGGTCCACCCTGGACTCGTCTTGCAGCCTGGCTGCGTCTGCCTGTAGCATGCGGAGTCTGGCTCTGATATGACTTACCGAGCTATAAGTGTTGATAGACAGCTCATACAGCGCATATAGTGCTTGAAGCGCTGACGGTGTGATCCCTGCATCGCAGACTAGGTCCACCCTGGACTCGTCTTGCAGCCTGGCTGCGTCTGCCAGTAGCATACGTAGTCTGGCCGCCCCCTGCACGTCTCCCGCCACCCCTCCGCGCCCGTCGAGCGCTCGCTCTAAAGCGCCGTATGAACGCATCCGCGCTTCTAGCCCGGGCCCGTGACGGAGGCCCTTTATAACGACCACGCGTTCCCACACCTGGAAGAATCAATTTACATTTATTTTTTTTGTAAAGAGCGGACACAATGGTATTGTCTCTAATCCAGTGTTTTTCAACCTTTTTCATGACGCGACAAGCATGAAAAAATTTTTTGCGACCCCCCGACCGTTCGCTTTTTTTTTCGTGCTTTTTACAAAGAAGTTGTAGGGACCGAATTCTACAATCTATACAACATTTATGAATTTGCATATTAGATTTCGGATAAATCTAGCTTTTAAACTTCTCTGGATTTGTTACTGAGTTAGTTTTTACGACCTCTCGCGACCGGGGCGCGCGACCCACAGGTTGAAAAACACTGTAGAATTGGCTAAAGCATTTATTAAGACAGTCGCAGCGTCACTACCGTCTCAAACGCGAAGCTTCTAGAAATTGTATGAAAACTAGTAGTGGTGAGGCAAGCGTCCTTCCTCACGCCTCAACTAAAAGGCGCTCAGGCGCTCTAAGTGTTTTTAATTCAAATAATATTTCTGACTAAATATTCCAATCGCATAGAGACAAAAATTGTTGACCTAGCTAAAAGTCTCTAACGCTTGTTTTACAANGTGGAGTCTGGCTCTGATATGACTTACCGAGCTATAAGTGTTGATGGACAGCTCATACAGCGCATATAGTGCTTGAAGCGCTGACGGTGTGATCCCTGCATCGCAGACGAGGTCCACCCTAGACTCGTCTTGCAGCCTGGCTGCGTCTGCCAGTAGCATACGTAGTCTGGCCGCCCCCTGGACGTCTCCCGCCACCCCTCCGCGCCCGTCGAGCGCTCGCTCTAAAGCGCCGTATGAACGCATCCGCGCTTCTAGCCCGGGCCCGTGGCGGAGGCCCTTTATAACGACCACGCGTTCCCACACCTGGAATAATCAATTTACATTTACAATTTTTGTAAAGAGCGGACACAATGTTATTATCTCTAATCAATTGGATAAAGCTTTCTATGTATATTTTAGATTATTGTGAAACATTAACACAGTCGCAGCGTCACTACCGTCTAAAACGCGAAGTGCAATGCACTTCTAGAAATTGTATGAAAACTAGTAGTGGTGAGGCAAGCGTGCTTCCTCACGCGCACTCGTAAGTGTTTTTAATTCAAATGATGTATTATTGCTGACTAAATATTCCAATCGCATAGAGACAAAAATTATTGACCTAGCTAAAAGTCTCTAACGCTGGTTTTACAATTAAAACATACTCACTTGTATAAGCATTTCAAAGCCGCGCGTGTCATCCGATTTGTCTGCAAGCATTCGCGCTTGCACCTCCAATAAGAGCTTTGTCATGGCTACTCTAATATTTTCTCCGTCAAGCGTAATTTTATATTTCACGCCGTTGGCGAATGGAATGCTGGTAGCAGGAACCTTTGACTCCACACTAAAAAAACATAAAGAGATGTAGGTAGCGTCTACTTTAAATAGATTCTAAATTATTTTTTTAATGATTGTAATACTTACAGGTCAACAGGCTGTTCATCAGGCGGTGGCAAGAAATTGCCAGAGGATAACACCGCATTCATGATGCAAAAACTCCTCAGTTTGCGTTCACGACACATGTCTTTCTCTCCGCTGAGCCATTGCCTGATCCGCGCTATCTCGGGCTTCAGATACCTGTCAATCAGCATCTGGGCACACTCAGCTTCCGCCTCACAAGGCACGTGCCACTTGAAGTTTGCGTTCTTGAGCAAGCAGCCGCGACCCCACTCCCGAACAGGCAGCCACGTCTCAGGCGCCTTCCCATAGTCATTGGGAGAACTGCGCCACTCCTTCAAATCAACGTACGACATAGACGTAAATATGTGACTCAAAACTTCGCATGCACGCGTCAACGCATAACTCGAATGAAGCTTCAACGCCCTGTCCAATATGGGCAAGATTTCAGGAATATACTTAATCAACACGGTCCCCTCGCATTCCACGACGTGCATCAGCAGCACGAGTCTGTATACGAGGTCGCGAGGAGGATTCATTTCCTTCAAGGTTTCATCGGAAGATAAAATTTCCTTCAGATCTTCACATAGTTTAGGCAAGAATGCGGCGAGAGTTGTTTCGGCATCGATACGAGCGAACACGCGCAATAGGAAGCCCACCATGCTACCGGACACGTTCGTTTCGAACGTGGAATCTGTCGCAAAGGCCCTGAACTTCCTCAGAGCCTCTTTGAATATTTTCGGCGAACACTGCATCAGCACAGCCGTAGCGGCGGACGAGATGGCCGTTTCGACCACGGCGTCCGGTTTTGCTCCGAATCGCGTCGGATTCTTTGGTATCGAGGCGCACGTGTTCCATCGTGCTGGACTCAATAATAATGAACAGTCTATCCAGGAAGACCAGGACAAAGTCTTCGAATTGAGCGGTCGACTCGCACGTCAATCGTTCTTCTTCGGTCAGATCGGGCCAGTGTTCGTGAGCCGAGCTGCAGTCGATGAAGGGGACCATCCAACTGAATATCAGTATGAAGTGTAGTGTCACCATTGTCTTCTTGATGTCGTTTGGATCTAAGCCCGGGAGGACGGCCATGAGGAAGGGCACGACGTGCGTCGGGCCCTCAGGGAAGTCGGCGTCCGCTCCCCGCAGCATAGGTCTAGCCACGGCAGCCACTGCAGACATGGCGGCAGTCACTCGGTGCGGCTCCGTTAGAGAAGTCAGCGATGTCCTAAGTCTTTCCAGTAAGGGTGGAACGACGATTGCAGGCCGGAGCGTGGCCAAATTCTGCAACGCGATCGATATATCCAGCGCGCCGCTGCGGCTGTATACCGCTTGCAATGTTGGCTCGAGGACGATGTTTACGAATTCCGTGATGTCTTCGTCTCTGAGTCTGTTCGATTCTGGTGTTTGGTTTTCCCAACTCTCCTTGAACCTTTTTTCACGCTCTCTTCTCACTCTAAAAACATTTGCAGTAAACGGAAATTATATTTATTGCTTATTTCTGCAAGTGATCACTTACCAAAAAGGTGTATTTTATTACCTGTTCAAGAATTCTCTAGCAAGTTTCCTGAGAAAGTCTCTCAGCTTGAAGGACCAGCGACCAGCGTTTGCGCTGTGCAGGTAGCTTTCGACTCCAGCTAAAAAGCTGCGTAGATGTTTTAGAAGCACTCCATCGGGGCTTATGCTCCATACGATCCACGAAGCAACGTGTTTCATATCTAAAAGTTTGATTGGAAAATGAAAATTAAAGCAAGTAAATACATGTAATAAAATAATAATAAATAAATATCCTTAGACATTTTACACTACACCTCTCTTTAGTCACAAACTAAGCAAAGCATGTACTATGGGTACTAGACTATGGGTACTAGACAATGGATATAAACATACTTAAATACTTTTTTCTTTGTAAATACATACAAATACATATTATACATAGAAAACACCCAAATATTTAAGATAAACTAACCAAGAGTGTGATTCCTGCTCATTTGCATATCTTTATAGCCCACTGGGAGATTCAGAGTGTGAAGGAATCTTGTGAAAAGTTTGGGCACGTGGGGGGTCCAATCTACGGCACCGGGGTTCCGTTTGGCCAGCCCTGCGAAGAGCATCGTCAACTCCTGTGAAAGAAAGAGACACTATAATATTTTGAACCTGAAAATGTATGCGGCAAGGGTCAAATTACAAGTAAACTCACGGAGACTCCATACTGTGAGTTGTAGCACGTATCCCAAAGGTCCATCAGTTGGTTAAACCATAGTTCGTGGCCTTGAGCCGCATATCGAGGGTGAAGTGACACTGGTAAGAATACCACTAACTGGCACATGAGATTTGTGTCAGTAGCCCAAGGGTTGATCTGAGGTAGAAATTCTTCCAGGATTTCTTTGGTCGCAGTCACCTCAAAGTATCTAAAAGACATTTTCGTTGCAATATCTATTGGAATAGAAATTAATTTTAACTGACAAGGACAAGAGAAAAGTTACTTACGGTCTCGCGCACTTAACCATTGACATGTACGACCCTTCTAATGATCTGGAAATAAAAAAATATTAAAATAAGTGCTTTAATATACTATTTTGTTTTAGAAGCGTATTTTTGAACCATTCTGTACAAATTATTTTGCAAAGATATTTATCTAAGTCCAAATTTTAAAGAATTCAGAATTCCAGAATTCTAAAGGAATATTCATTTATGCTGCGTGGCATGTGCTGATAAAATTGTAGAATAAAGACTGTGGTCTCTTAAAATGTCGCGCACTACGTAGCAATCGAAAGACTACTTCAATGTTTCAAAAATACGTATCTTGGGTTTAAATTGTGGTGCATTCTGAGTACAACATATTTTATCAGATTTGCTTTAGATTATCAATTAATAAATAATTTATTTTTAACTCTACAAGGACGTTAATCTGCACCAAAATCGAATCCCCGAACCGGGCGTTGATCCACCAGAGCACCGCGCGAAATGTAGAACAACCAACAAGAACGTAGAATGAATGATAGATGAGCCCATCCCTACTACCACCAAATGTGCAATGCAAGCGTATCCCAGATGTTCAAACTTGTTCATTACGTGGGTAGCTCGTTTTCATCCCGTTCTGCTAGGCCGAACAAGGCTAGGGCGTCGTCAAGGCCGTACCCCGACAGGAATTTGCGAATCTTAGTGAGCATATCACCTCCTTGCTTGCCAGAACGTTTTGGCCTGAACACATATGGTGAGACAAATTATTATTAGACAATTAGAAGGGACCAATATGTGTAAATGTGGCTTTACAATAGTTATTTACTTTGCTTCTTGAAAATGGATTAAAAGTTACATGTATAATGTATAGAAGCCACGATAGCCGAACGGTGAAGGGGTCGGACTGGCCGACTCGTAATCCGGGGAACGCGGGTTCGGTCCCCGCCGCCGCTCGACTATTGTGGTGAGCTCACTCGTGACACAAGCATATTTAGCTTAGTACGAGGGGCTAACGGGAGTATTAGTAATTTGTGTAATAACAAATTACTAATAATCTTNTAGACACTGATGTTTCGTATGGCATGTCTGTTCAATGTATTAACAGTCCGGAAATTTGTGTGCAAGAGTATCAGTCTAAATGACGTTCTAGAAAACAATACAGGCTAGGTCTTATTTATAAATTGAGTAAGTGCAGCAAACTTGTGTTATAAGTAGGGTAGACTGGATACGGTTTTAACAACTCGAATTTTATCGAACAATGATCGGTAGGTGAGGGGTACAAGAAGCTGGCATGCGAGCGACAAGTCCATACAGCCTTACTTATCTTGTCGCCAGCATTTCTTTCCCTTTGAACCCCTCACCTACCAAGCATCATTTGAGTTGTCACACCATACCCAGCCTTCCCTAAAAACTGAAAACTGTTACTTGGATTGGAATGTGCAGAAAACTTACGAGAGGTAATGGAAGAGTCCTATGTGTGTCGCACTCTTATCAAATATCTTCTTTCCAACTTCATACAAAGGTCGCCAAGGAAGAGTCAAGTCCTCCGGTGAAATTAAATGCCTCTTTCTGGAAAATAACATTGTGTTTACAATCACATCTAAATGGAAAGGTCAAACATGCCAAACTAAGAAAAATAAAATGTTTTCCTGATTTATTATACTACAACATGCCTACTACTCCCAATTCAAATTAGATGAGGATATACCTAAATAGCTGTACTTACTTTGTAAGCATAAGGAACAGTGTTGTGAATTTGTGAACCTTGCATGGCTCCAAGTCAGGAATGAGAACTAGCTCATAGGCCAGTTTTATTAATGCTATGTGGTCCTCTTTTCCAAATTTTAAGCCATATATTCTTATATATCTGTAAAAAATAAATCATAATTATATGTTGTAATAAAAATCTGAAGATTATTAAAGCCCCTAAACTATTTTAGCTCCTTTCTTCACGATTTTGTGACTGTGATTAATAACTTGTTAGAAAACTTAAAATTAGTTAAAATATATTAACAATTAGGCCTTCTTGGCAACATAGAATTGATTTCTTCAACATGTCTTCAGAAAATGGACAAACAAGCAACATTTTTTTTTCTACAACAAATATCTCTGGACAATTTTCCCAGCCATAGATCACACAGCTATAAGCTGTACTTATTAAAATGTATTTGTGATGGCCAGGCATGAAAATGTCAAAAGTGCAGTCACATAATGCATTAAAAACATTGCCCATTTACAAGCTCTATTATAATAAATATAATAATATGTTTGTCTGTATGTTATATTATGTATTATGCACTAATACTAATGGAAATATAGAGAGACATCTAATGCATGTGCATTAGGCATTTCCTTAATACTATTGTTGAAATAAACAGTCCAATATATCTAGACAAATATATTACACACATAGAATACAATAAGTACTGTATTATGCAGTTTTCAGGAAGTTCTGGGCTATGGCCAGAAAATTTCAGACGTTGAATATGCTGCCAAAGGTTAAACTACTCCCATTGAGTAATTATTTCACTAGTAGATGAAAAGATATTTGATGTATTGCATATTCAAATTGAGTAGGTAAAAATACGTTTATGATGTTCAAATTACTTAAAATTATTTATATGCATTATCGATAGTGATTATTAGGCTGGGTAAAAGTGATTAGTAATATTTATCTCTCTGAACTGATAAAGAATCACACTTTATTATACTTTACTAGCTATTGTTTGCGGATTCCCCTGCCACATACTACCCACACCTACATTTCCCATTAAAAAATCTGCCTAAAAACTATCCCATATTTTATCCTGGGTGTCTCTATGACCAAAGTTCATCTAAATCAATTCAGTGGCTTTTTAAGTCAAATGTAACAGACAGACACTTTACATTTATCATACTATATGGATTGGCAAAATATTTTCTAATTAGATAGTTATTTTTCTTCTATTACATCTTTTTTTATTTCTAATTAATTTTCTAATTCTAATTCTACAGTAAAATTACACCTCTGTTATTAAAAATATATTAACTCCATTCATAAGGATGACTTCATAGAGGCTCTCAGAAACTGATAGTTAATCATTTCAAGACGACTCAAGGAAAATGTTAAGATGAAATCATCAACATCAAGCTTAGTGACCGAAACAAAGTATTAAATTATATATTTTGAATGAAAGTTATTCATAAGAAGCATATAAAAAGATACAAGAGGACAATGACAATCAAGTTATAAATAAACACAAAGCTGTTACATATTTTTAAAAATAGTATGTTATTTTTTCTTTGTTTCGCACATTATTGTACTCAAATTTGGGAGTCTTTATTATGAGCAATTGATTTTTAAATTGAATAGTAAGTATTAGGTAGATGTTATTTCTAATAAGAATTCTACATGAAGTGTTTAACATTAACATTTCATATTGAAGAAACATGGAATAAGTGAAATAAATATTAAGTATTAGGAGAGTAGGTACTAGAACTAGAACATTGGCGTTTAAATAAAAGCTGAATTTATACTAGCATTTTGAAGAGTTTATGAAAAGGGCTATTTAATAAAAGTTTTGAGGGTATCTATCACTCCTAAGAAATTAAATTAAAATAAAAAATACATACTTCATCAGCCTCGAGGACCACACTCCACAGGCTGGCTTCATCTCACGTAACATCACTGATTTTGCCAGATTCGTCTTGACTTGCTCCAGGAAACTGCATGATTCTGCATCCAACTCAGCAGAATATGGCAAGACGTGATTGGTAAGGATCTCCTTCTGCGGCTTAAACCCCAGGGCCTGTATGCGCTCTGGGGTAGTCACCAACAGTTCATACTCGTCGTCCAGAATCATCTTGGAATGATTTTTAACTTTTTATCACAAACTAATCCAAACGCACAGTTAACCAATGTCTTTTATCACTGACGGCCACATGAGCGCAGCTGTGAATTACGCCGCTCAGCGCAGTACTAGCTCGCACTATGTAATTACTATTGTTCCGTCATCAACAATTAATCAACATTGAATTTGCACAAGTCATCGAATATTTTACAGCAAAAATCCAAACCCGACGACGATTGGACGTTCCGTTCCACAAGAATTTGACATTTAATTTGGCTGACGTCATGTTGTGCTCACGTTTCATTTATCGCACTGTTTATTTAATTTTATGTTGCGTTTTTTCTTATTATTTACTGGTTGTATCAAACAATCTTTCCATTTAATTTTCCAATGTCTTTTTACCTATTAACTATTTAAAATTATAATTCGTATGATATGATATCGTTTTTGGTTTTTGTTCACTTGTTTAGCAAAGCCTCGATTCTGTAATTCGTCGACCTGTGGATTGATCCTTTTTTTTATCTATGACTTAATCACGGACTTAATGCCCTGTAGTATTCTCCTCCAGATAACTTTTAGTCGTTTTTCGTTTCATCCAAATAATGACGTCCACTGCTTAACAGACGACCGGTCATACGCTGCCCGCACCCAGTTACTGCGACTTTTACCAGATCTTCGGTTCACTTAGTAGAGAGAAGCCTACCTACACTACATTTTCTGTCTTTTTTGGTTTCCCTCATGGGAAAAAAACCAAGAGTGAAGAGACCTTTGGGTCAAAAGATAAATTACAGTAGGCGGTGTATAAATAGTACCTATCCAATACATTTAGTTTGAAGGAGTCTTTAGTTTTTCCTTCCTTCCTTCTTTTTCTTTCAGATGAATTTCAGACTTGTGTACACAAGTACAAGACTTGTAAGTATGTGACAATAAAATAAAAGTATGTAAGATTGGAATACTTTAATAACGAACACGAAACATTACAAAAGGGATGATCACTAACAGGGAGCATTCGCGGGTAGTGTAATAATGCTGGAACATGTCGATCAAATTCTAATCTTGCATTTTTACAATACACGCGAATACTCACGCGCAGCAAGCGCAATTAAATTAGGTTAACAGAGATCTTTTTAATTTTTAAAATAACATGGTTTTTAATACCTTTAGTTTTTATGTAGACTGTGCTTAAATATAGTATCGCCGACCACGTAGAATTTCGTCCAATGACCCCAAGCTACCCAACCCATCCTTATCGCTCACGTATGTTGCTGTCGCGCTCGCACACTCACTGCGGCCGCCTCTCGCACAGTCGCTCGGCGACCGGGATTTAGAATTTAGAGAATATTACAAAGCAATATTATAACAAAATACAGGTAAAAAAGTACTTAGTATAACAATATTCTATTACAAGGCTTATATTGTACCATACAATATTAAGGCATCTGATTGCTGGCAATGCAAATTATGTATTTATTGCTTTAAATTTTGCTAGAATGCTAGCGATATCATGCTCTACTTCATATCAGCATTAAACGAGCTAAACTCTTTTATAACAATATTATACATAAATATGTACCTACTTAGTAAATTCATCAACAGTATTGCAGTTTAATAAGAAGCATGTAGGATTTAATTACATTTGAACTATAGCAATGTAAATTTGTACTATTATTCGGACCTAATGCCGATTTATAACGGTGGCTAAACAGCGCAAAAGTTTAAATATAAAAATGTTGTTCAAAACACTAGTAAATACCATCTTCACGACATACATGATTTTAAATATTATTTCTATTTGCTCTAATATTGTGTGTGCAATGTAGATTATAAAAAAAACTACAATATATTTCAGAGTAAACTTATGAATATTCTAGATATTGGATATAGGAAACATTATGAATAACATGGAAGCTGTTTTATTAAGGCAACTATTGTTTTTGTTTGAGGTTTTTCGTGATATCCCTGAGTTTAATAGCTAAAATTTATAGATCTCTTTTTAGCTAGCTAGGAGCTATAAAATTTAGCTAATAAACTCAGACAGAGCTAGTTTTAATTACCATTTAATTTACTGGCCATGCGTCTATATTTTATAAAGCCTTTAAATATAGGTAAGTTTATTGTTATTTCTTGGCTTTGGCGTGTAAAGCCCGGTCTGTGAGCACGTAGAATTTTGTCCAATGACCCCAAGCTACCCATCCTTATCGATCGCGTGTAATTATATTGCTGTCGCGACTGTGCGACGGGCGCCCGCAGTGAGTGTGCGAGCGTGACAGCAACATAATTACGCGCGAGCGATAAGGATGGGTAGCTTGGGGTCATTGGACAAAATTCTACGTGCTCACAGACCAGACTATAGTTATATTTTATTCTAGACTGTGACAGACTCTTTCTGCGTTGTGTAGAGACTGGCCGCGAAGACAATGTCTCTCTTGATGGCTGTGGACGCTTCCATCATCTTGGCTTGAAGCTTGGGGTCACCCACGGCTACTGCCGCGTCTTTAACGTCGATGAGAAGCTGAAAAAATTAATAAAATGATTTATTTTCTTTCTCCCTTTCTTTCTTATAGGAATAAGGCCCGACAACGTCTTTAACTTGATTACAAACTCAAAAATGCACCCAAAATTATTTTGACTCATATAATCACAGGCTTGAAGTTTATATTTATTTCATAATACGAGACAAAGGGATTGCGTAAATTGAAATCCAGGCGGAATCCGCATTAAGCAAAAAAGATCTAACTTCGTTGGCATACGGTGTAAATTTAGGTGGAGACTAAGAAATTAATGTGTTTTATGCCCGTTTTCACCATCAATCACTAATTTTTAAGTGACCCCTATGGAAACAAATTTCCTGTTATGTGTTACCATAGAGGGGTCACTTAAAAATGAGGATTGATGGTGAAAACGGGCATTAATCAGTTGAATTTTATAATAATACATTTCCTTACCTCATGGAGTTGCTGAATACACCTCACTATAATTCCCTCTTGCACATCTGTCAGATCCATAATTTCTGCGAATGGTTTCTCCAGCGCCCATTCATAGACTACCCTCACTAGTCCGAAGTTCAGTCTCTCTGCCTGTCCTTCGAATTGACCGACCTAAAAGTATAAGGTGACATGATAAAAATGGCCCATACCATTTTAGATCCTTGTCCCACGGTGGTACTCGATAGTCGATACAATGTAGTTTAAAGTTTTGAATGTACCTACATAATATATGTGCATTCTTCTCACTCAAAGCGAGATGCCAGCATTAGGGTCAGTGATAGAAGACCCGAAAATACGTAAACGGATTTAGGGTAGCCCCAGATGACTTCAACAAGTTAACATTTAAAAGACTGCCGTGTGACTTGTATTTTAAAATTAAAGTTCTTCTAATGGTTCAAATCAAAATGTGTGACTTGTGTTTTTTGTTTGTTTTTGGACCTTAATAAAATACAATAAGGTACCAAATCTGGAATTGCATTGTAGACACTGAATCATAAAGGCTTACTCACCAAATATTTCGACTCAATTTTGGTGAGCTCATCGTCAATAAGCTCTATAGCTTTCACGCCTTCGGCCAGTTTCTCAGTCAGCTGTGGCTCTATTTGTGTGCGCGCTTGGAACACAAAACAGCTGAGCAACGCCGCAATTTCCGCTGGACTTTTATCCGTGAACACGTTTCGGAATACTAGCTCGGATATTATCAGTTCGTTTGTGCCCATACCGCAGGCTACTCGACCTGTAATTAATTAACATTATGAATAAAAGCATTCAATGAACGAATGAATGAATGATAAATTAACGAATGATTGATGTTCTCATTTGCTGCTTGCAAAGAGAGTAAACATCATCATCATCATTTCAGCCACAGGACGTCCACTGCTGAACATAGGTCTCCCCCAATTACTTCCACATCGCATGGTTGGTAGCGACCTGCATCCAGCGCCTTCCTGCTACCTTTATCAGGTCGTCGGTCCTCCTTGTGGGTGGACGTCCNAGACGTCCCACGCTGCGTTTTCCGGTCCGTGGCCTCCACTCCAGAACCTTGCTGCTCCATCGGCCGTCAGTTTTGCGTACTATGTGCCCTGCCCATTGCCACTTCAGCTTGCTAATCCGTCGCGCAATAAGAAAGTAAACAAAAGTTCATTATTATTTTTTTGTTCCAAGTATACCTTTAAGTATGACGCTGTCATGTTCGTCAATGTAGTTCAGTTCTCTCAGCACCATTAACCTTCTCTGGTAGTCTGGATAAAGGGCCAAGTTCTCGAAAGAGAGCAGCCGTTTGTACTTGTCTCGCTTCCTCTCGGTTTGCTTGCGTTCATATACGATTGCAAATTCGCTCTTGAAGTTCGCTATGTCAGTGCATTTCTTTTGTACTACTAGTTCGGCCTGGAATTAAAAAAAAACTAATAATAGCTTTATTAAAAACCGTAGATAGCTAACCAACCAGTCAGAGCCCACAAGAGAGTATGAGTTTCTAAATAATAATTTGTGTTAAGAAGCCGGTAGCTATCGTAGTATCAAAAGACGTCATATTGCCCTTGGTTAGAAAGTCAATCTAGCCATAGATTGTGTAAGGCTGACGTGCTCTAAAGTGGTGGCGCCTGTGCGTAGTAGATACGAGAGAGCTCCTAAACTGCAATGGCGTCAGGCGTATATTGAACCTAAAGGGCTTCTTTAAACCATACCATAAGCTTGTTCATCTTGTCCAGCGTCTGCAGTATCTCCCCGGTGGATATAGCCATGGACTGCGTGAGGCTGACGTGTTCTAAAGTGGTGGCGCCCGTGCGAACCGCGTGCGAGATTCGAGAGAGCTCCGTTATTACGGGACCTGTTGAACCTATGGGGCAACTTCCTACTAAATTGAGTGTTTACACGCAATTAATCACTTGAAATTAAGTTACAATTTAGTTACCTACTTATCTGCTTAACACGTGTAAATCAGTTTTTACACTGCAATGGCGTATACTGAACCTATGGGGCTTCTTTGAACTATATCATAAGCTTTTACCTTGTCCATCGTCTGCAGTATCTCGCCTGTGGAGACACGAGAGAGCTCAGAACAGCACTGGCGTATGTTGAACCTATGGGGCGTCTTTGAACCATACCATAAGCTTGTTCATCTTGTCCAGCGTCTGCAGTATCTCCCCGGTGGAGATAGGCATGGATTGCGTGAGGCTGACGTGTTTTAAAGTGGTAGCACCAGTGCGAACCGCGTGCGAGATACGAGAGAGCTCCTTTATTATGGGACTTGTTGAACCTACAGGGGCGTCTTTGAACCATACCATAAGCTTGTTCATCTTATCCAGCGTCTGCAGTATCTCCCTGGTGGATATAGCCATGGATTGCGTGAGGCTGACGTGTTCTAAAGTGGTGGCGCCCGTGCGAACCGCGTGCGAGATACGAGAGAGCTCTTGTACTACACTGGCGCATGTTGAACCTATGGACCTGTCTTTGAACCATACCATAAGCTTGTTCATCTTGTCCATCGTCTGCAGTATCTCGCCAGTAGAGACACGAGAGAGCTCAGCATTGCAATGGGGTATATTTAACCTATGGGTCGTCTTTGAACCATACCATAAGCTTGTTCATCTTGTCCAGCGTCTGCAGTATCTCCCCGGTGGATATAGCCATGGACTGCGTGAGGCTGACGTGTTCTAAAGTGGTGGCGCCCGTGCGAACCGCGTGCGAGATACGGGAGAGCTCCTTTATTACGGGACTTGTTGAACCTACAGGGGCTTCTTTGAACCATACCATAAGCTTGTTCATCTTGTCCAGCGTCTGCAGTATCTCCCCGGTGGATATAGCCATGGATTGCGTGAGGCTGACGTGTTCTAAAGTGGTGGCGTCCGTGCAAAATACGAGAGAGCTCCTTTATTACGGGACTTGTTGAACCTACAGGGGCGTCTTTGAACCATACCATAAGCTTGTTCATCTTGTCCAGCGTCTGCAGTATCTCCCCGGTGGATATTGCTATAGACTGCGTAAGGCTGACGTGCTCTAAAGTGGTAGCACCCGTGCAGACCGCGTGCGAGATACGAGAGAGCTCCTTTATTATAAGACTTGTTGAACCAATAGGGCTTCTTTAAATCATACCATAAGCTTGTTCATCTTGTCCATCGTCTGCAGTATCTCGCCAGTGGAGACACGAGAGAACTCAGAACTGCACTGGCGTATGTTGAACCTATGGGTCGTCTTTGAACCATACCATAAGCTTGTTCATCTTGTCCAGCGTCTGCAGTATCTCCCCGGTGGATATAGCCATAGACTGCGTGAGGCTGACGTGTTCTAAAGTGGTGGCACCCGTGCGGACCGCGTGCGAGATACGAGAGAGCTCCTTTATTACGGGACTTGTTGAACCTATGGGGCAACTTGCTACTAAATTGAGTGTTTACACGCAATTAATCACTTGAAATTAAGTTACAATTTAGTCACCTACTTATCTGCTTAACACGTTTAAATCAGTTTTTACACTGCAATGGCGTATACTGAACCTATGGGGCTTCTTTGAACTATATCATAAGCTTTTACCTTGTCCATCGTCTGCAGTATCTCGCCTGTGGAGACACGAGAGAGCTCAGAACAGCACTGGCGTATGTTGAACCTATGGGTCGTCTTTGAACCATACCATAAGCTTGTTCATCTTGTCCAGCGTCTGCAGTATCTCCCCGGTGGAGATAGGCATGGATTGCGTGAGGCTGACGTGTTTTAAAGTGGTAGCACCAGTGCGAACCGCGTGCGAGATACGAGAGAGCTCCTTTATTATGGGACTTGTTGTACCTACAGGGGCGTCTTTGAACCATACCATAAGCTTGTTCATCTTGTCCAGCGTCTGCAGTATCTCCCCGGTGAATATAGCCATGGATTGCGTGAGGCTGACGTGTTCTAAAGTGGTGGCGTCCGTGCAAAATACGAGAGAGCTCCTTTATTACGGGACTTGTTGAACCTACAGGGGCGTCTTTGAACCATACCATAAGCTTGTTCATCTTGTCCAGCGTCTGCAGTATCTCCCCGGTGGATATAGCCATGGATTGCGTGAGGCTGACGTGTTCTAAAGTGGTGGCGCCCGTGCGAACCGCGTGCGAGATACGAGAGAGCTCTTGTACTGCGCTGGCGCATGTTGAACCTATGGGAGCGTCTTTGAACCTGTAAAAGAAAATCGAGTCAGTATTAAGGACGAAGCACCCTTGTCAGCGTAAACGGATCGTAGCAGTGTCAACTTGAAGCGGTCGGGCACGCACTATCCGCACCGTAACTTAAACGCCTCGCCTATGCGGTTAGATACGATGTTGATTCCTTACCGGGTTGATAAGTGTGCTATGACCTTTATAGTCCAATAGGAACTGCATGTACTTTTTCCTAACAAATGAATAGTAATGAAGTCTGGTAAAACTAACCTAGGCATTTGTCGCTTCTCCCAATCCTGAATGATAATGTTGACGTCTATTTTCAAATTCATTTTCGTGATAGCGACTATGTTTTTAGGAGCTATGCACAATATTGTGTGGTCCATAGTGCTCTCTTCAGTACCTATAAAACAAAGAAAAACCAATGAATTCTGTGTATTTCTTCTTACTGCAACAGAGGCTATTTTCAGAATTACTGTAAGTAAAACGATAAAACATTTAATTAAGTTGGCACTGAAATATACCATTTTTATATCGTTACCTATTCCATCATACATCGTGGAGAAACTCAGCATTCGGAACCAGTTGTCGTCGACTTCAAAGTTGTACCTTGCAGGATCTTTCTCGGCCGTGTTTAAAACCAATACTTTGTATGGAGTTTGGCGAGGCCCTGGAATATTATAAACGGTATTAAGTAACTATAGTCTGGTCCGTGAGCACGTAGAATTTTGTTCAATGACCCCTAGCTACCCATCCTTATCGCTCGCGCGTAATTATGTTGCTATCGCACTCGCACACTCACTGCGGGTGCCAGTCGCACAGTCGCGACAGCAATATAATTACGCGCGAGCGATAAGGCTGGGTAGCTAGGGGTCATTGGACAAAATTCTACGTGCTCACGGACCGGGCTTTAGTGACCGAGTTTCTTGCGCTGCTTCTCAGCACTGGGCCACTGGCCTATTTATTATTATATTATTGTCCCGAAGCAGTGGTTAATCCTACAACTGCTACCTATTGGGACGTGAAAAAGTGCTTTTTAAAAGCCTACTTGCAAAAATAACATGAGTTTAAATGAGTTGAGTTTTATTAACTATCAAGTCCCAGAAAATAATAATTTTTATTTATGACCTGTCAAAATGCAAAAGAAAAAAGATTATGACGTCATATCACCAACTCAGACGAGTTCATTTCAAAGTGACAAAATACAATTTTGTATTTAATACAAAATTGATTGGGTTTTAAAGCTGAAATGAAGTGCTTTTCAACTAGTATGTCTTATGAGATGAATCTCTTTTTTGAGAGCAAAGAAAATATTAGTATCAATTACTCACCGTTGCCATTCAAATACACTCCCAGCTGGTTGATATACGGCCCCGCGGATATCACCAAAACCTTTCCCGCGACCATTTCTTTGGCTACCTTCGATTGGTTCAATAAAAGCGGCATTATGTCGTTCAAAACATCGATATACCCTGCAGCTGTATCGTAGAACGATGCTAAGGGTGCTAGATGGGAGGGTAATGGAGTGCTACACTTCTCAGAATATTCTTTTTCGGCGAGTTGCAACTGCTTTCTGTGGTTGTCCGCTTGGCATATCTGGTTGAACTCGCGGAAGGATCGCTGCATCATGCCTTCTACTGAAACTGTCGCTGCCCTGCAATAAATGTTTTTCTTTAAAATTTGAAAGGTGGTATTTTATGCCGTCCGTAGCCTCGTAAGCCGGTTGCAGATCAAGCTAAGTAAGTTTAGCTTACGTCAAATAGCTGACGCAGTTTTTCACAGTGTTTGCAGTCTGTCACATCGCAGTCTGCACACAACTATGGAAAACTGCATTAGCTATGCGAGCTAACTCTTAGCTTGGCTCTTGATCTGCAACTGGCATTATAGCGGTTAGAATATTTAGAATATTAGTCACAAATCGTTTCATACTTTAAAGGCTTCGACAGACCAAACGCAGGTCAGAAGCAGTGCGCGTCAGTTGCAGCGCGGCTGAGGCACACTGAAAGCAGCGCAGTTTCAAAGCAGTTGCACTTGCAACGCGGGCGGTTGTCAAAAATTTAAATATTCGAAAACCGCTTTCAACGCGCTGCTACCGCCCTGCGTCCGGTGTGTCATGCTAATATGGCCGCCATAGTAATACACATAGCTGGGCACCGTTAATCAAATAGTTAACTTCGTTAATCGTTAAACCGTTAATAAAAAAATTAACTTCGTTAAACGTTAAAACGTTACATTTAGCAAGATTTAACGCAAGTTAACGTTAATCGTTAATCCGTTAACCCATTATAATAAAACGAAAAAAATAATTGTATGCAAGGTTCAAATAATTTCGAAAGCTTGTATCGCGCATGGAATTTATTCTTCTTTTTAGCCAGACAGTTTTGACAGTTCCAACTCCTTGCCAGACAGTTTTTTTAGGATAGCTGCCAAAGCCACGAAGACCCAAACTTCATAATCCACCAACATTCTAACCTATATTGGAAGCATACGCTGACAAACTTTCAGCTTTTATAAAATGACGTTGGTCTGGCGTTCACCAGCTCTTAGTCTATAGTATTTCAATCTCAGAGCCTTGGTTCAATTACAATACAATTTAGCACCAATGTGCTCGAAAAGACAAATCCAACAAACCCAAAATCGATAAGTTTTCACCGTTTCGCTTAGAAATTCCTATGGCCACTTCCTGACTCCATCATCAGGACCCTGGACATCATCTAGTACTAAAGTGCTCGAAAAGACAAATCCAACTAACCCAAATTCGATGCGATTCCGCCGTTTCATTTAGGAGTTCCTATGGCCGCCTCCTGACTCCATCATTAGACCAGCTCAATGGTACCATAATATTGCATTTTCATCAAATTCAGTTGCAAGATTTGTCCCACACATACTAACAAGTGAAGTCAATATAAGCAGACCTGTTCATCTCTCATTTTCTGCAGTTTGGCACCTCACGTCACACATTATTTTACCGAAGTCAGCCTGTGTGTGTGCTTGACTCTTGAGACAAGCTAAATTACACCATATAGTTAATGACATTGAGCATACAGCTCCACGCAACGCGTTTTTCTAGTGTTTTTCAACGTGCATGCTGTATCTTTTTGGTAAATAGTAGGTACTGGATTAACGATTAACGGACTTAGGATAATTTAACGGAAGTTAACGAGTCCGTTAACATTTTTTAAAGTTAACTTAAAAGTTAATCCGTTAATAGAAATGTTAACTTCGTTAATTAACGATTAACGGATTAACGAGTTAATGCCCAGCTATGGTAATACAACAGCGCGCAGCGCGGGCCCGCGTTCGCGCCGCTTCTGTCCCGCACCCGGGCCGCCTCGTTTGTCGTTCGGCAGTTGCAGTGCGGCGCGGTTGGAGCGCGGGCCCGCGTTCAAATTTGGTGTGACATACTTCAAAGAGTTTCTTGTATTACAACTTGCGCGGGCCTGCATTCAAACTGCGCCGCTACTGACCCCGCGTTTGGTCTGCCCAAGGCTTTAGTTTGTTGACTCCTTTGTCACACTATTTCCCAATTTTTTCTGTCTCAAATATACTTGCTGATAAGCGATATAAGCTGAAAACAATTATAGAGGTCTAATAATGAATTTTATAGAATCACTTTTTACCTCAGTAAACTCAATATCATGGCGTAGGTGAGTCGGAATTGGGAAGACAGCTTTTGAGGTATGCCCATCATCATGCCTTTTAGTGTCACCAGATCGGGAACTCCGTCTTTGCACAGTATTATCACAGTACCAGTGTCATCCAGTCCTGAAACATAATTAGGAAAATGTTGAAAATCAAACAAATCCTATATATAACTCAGGTTTTTTCGAAGCTAGATTACGTAACACAAACAAAAGAAGGTTGCATTACAGTAATTTATTGTTTAGGCAAAAGGCATTCTATTCGTCTTTTTTGGCAGACCTAGTGGGCCTCTAGGCTGCGGTCTTCAATAAAATGCTATAAGCGGCGTATGACGTCAGCGTCAAACGTTCCTTCGACGTCCATATGCCGCCGTCAACGTCTCAAAGATATCACAACAGAACATTTCTATAATAATAAGCATTGTGACGAAGCCTACGGCGTGACGCTGTACACAGTCTACGGCGTTTATTGGAGACCTTAAGGCTTTGCCTTAAAGGTTTTTTATTGAGGTAGTAAACACTAACCTCTTCTCCCGGCTCTGCCCGCCATTTGTATGTATTCGGCTGGGGCTAGGGTCCTCCTCTGCTGGCCATCGAACTTGGTCACCTCGTCGAACACCACCGTTCGAGCTGGCATGTTGACTCCCATGGCGAAAGTCTCAGTTGCGAAGAGAATTTTAACCTGCAGCATCAGATTTGTATGATAATAGAAGATTCAATATGCAATGAATCACGTTTAATAAAGTAGCACGCAAATAACGACGAAATGTAGTGGGCATAAGGTGCATGGTGCATTGAATTTTTTGAACGATTTATGTTGTCACTGCGTATCTATGAAACATGCTCTAATTGCTTTAAGCTACTTGCCTCACAGGATTGCGTCCATCGTATTTTACTTTCGCGGAGTTAAAGGTAAATGGTAGAAAAATGAAAATATATACTTACATAACCTGTCTGAAACAGCATTTCTACAATTTCTTTGAGCAACGGCAGAATACCGCTGTGATGTACCCCTATACCATTTTCGAGAACTCTCTGCAGTCTTATCACCTGAAAAGAGAAATAGTAAATTGAACCGAATGCCTAGATATTTAAGATTCACATTTAATATGAACAAGTCCTACTTGGGGTAATCTTCTGTCTGGCTCCTTTAGTCTTTGAAGGCACCTCTGGAAGAATGATTTTATATGACTTTTTTCTTTGCCAGTCGTTAAATCCACGGACATCAAGTTTTCAGCGTTTTGGTCGCATCTGAAATTAAACAGGTTAAATATACACTAGCTTTTGCCCACGGCTTCGCCCGCGTGGAATTCAGTTTTTCACAGATCATTATGTTATTCTGAGGTGGAATTGTGTAAAGCAATCGTAATCATTTGACAGTTCATAACGTACGATAAAGTCAGTTAAACAAAGCGTTTGACAGAACAATCGTACGTTATGAACTGTCAAGTGATTACGATTGCTTTACACAATTCCACCTCTGATGTATAAACAATAATACTGTAGTTTCATCAAAATCCGTTCAGTAGTTTTTGCGTGAAAGAGTAACAAACATATATCTGTACAAACATTCACATTTATATTATTAGTAGGATTCTTTGGAATAATGTGTCCAGGATCTAGCAAAAATATAGATGAAATTAGCACCTGTTCCGTGATAGTGTGAACGCAACAACTGGAAGTTTGTCCTTCTGTCTCAGATGGTCAATGAAGGCAACCCACATAGTCTGGTCAGCTTTAGGGTTTTGGAATTGCTTTCCACCGGCTACAATACATAAACAACATTTACTTATGATAATTTCATTAAATTTTTCTTTGACTACTGCATTTAAAAATGTATCTTATGTGCTTACCTTTAGGTCCAAAACCCTTCTTATATTCGTTTTCTCTAGCCTTTTTGGCCGCTACTGCGTCGTTGTATCCTCTTAACTGGAAGTTGCCTTCTTGATCGATCACTAAGAACCTTTCGTTCTTAGATTTTCCGCCCGATCCTGCAGAAGAATATTAAAATAAGCGAATTTTTTATTGCAAAACCGAATTGTAGTCTGGTTAGTTAGTGTGTGTAACGAAGATAACCAATTCCATTTATGACCATCATTAATATCACCACTATAAGTTTGCTGCGAAAACATTTAGCTAAGCTAAGCCTAAAGTACACTGTTTGCAACTACATTGTACAAAGACTGATCACATCACTGACTCACGCCTTTTTCAACGGAATTTAGCCCGCTGAAAAGGGCCAATTGCGGGAAGCGCGTTTCTCTGTAATTTAGCCGTAGATATTCGTATAGATAAAATTTGTCGGTCAAATGAACATGAAATAAAATCTCCAGAAAGACAGCTAGGAGCAGCATGGCTCTAGTGGTCAAGCTATAGTAAATATCTATAATTTGTTATATACCAAACCTGTATACAAGTAGTGGCAGAGCGGCACAGGCCTCTTAGGCGTAGACACGACGTAGACCTTTCGCTTTTTGGTGCGACCGACCCAATCCGCAAACTGAAGAGTGTTGGGTACAGTAGCACTTAACATCACAATGCTGACGTGCGCGGGAAGTAATATTAGCACCTCTTCCCATACGTAGCCTCTCTAGGAGATGAACAAAAAGTATTTTATGTAACTGAAGAATTGCTATGTTAAGTTCGCTGGCGTTGTGAACATTCTTTTAGTCAGTTTGTTGTGTGGAATGTGAGAAGAAAAAATAAGAAGTCGTATACAGGGTGTTAGGTAAATGGGTATATGAGCCGACACTAGCCCATGTTAACATGGTCATATAAATGGTATGGTGAAGTCAGAAAATTGATATCTTCATTTTAATTATTTTAATTTTCATACAAATCGTACTTTATAAAATTTATTTTGTATGAAAATTAAAAATAAATAAAATGATGATATCAAATTTCTGACTTCACCATACCATTTATATGACCATGTTAACATGGGCTAGTGTCGNTCCTCTTAACTGGAAGTTGCCTTCTTGATCGATTACTAAGAACCTTTCGTTCTTAGATTTTCCGCCCGATCCTGCAGAAGAATATTATAAGGAGCAAAATTCATTACAGCAACGATTTAGGATCTATTTAGTATTCGTGAAAATTATCTGGACTCCTCTTGAGGAATAGCTGAGTAAGGAAGATGGCAATTTTCTTTCATAATCATCATAATTAATATTAAGTCTTCTGCTAATACTGATGCTTACATTTTAGGCAATGTCTAACCATTAGTTTTGGAGCGATACAGAGACCTAAGTCAAGTAACGGACGCGGTCACCCGTCAGTGTTTTGTCTAGAATAACCTGTGAGAATTTTTTACGAACAACAATACTAGGGGAAGCCTATGTCCAACAGTGGACGTCCTATGGCTGAAATGATGATGATAATTAAGAACAATAGAGCATTAGAACTAGACCATTGGTTCCCAAACTTATTTGAGACGCATCCCCCCCTTTCCTCCTCCAGTCAAGATTATTTCGGAATGCATTCTCTCAGCGGTCGCAGGTTTTTTATACTTAAGTACACAGATGGCCCGCGCCAACCTATTAAAGGTCTTTGCGGACCAATGAACTAGACTATCTATTAGTAGATAAATCAAACCTGTATACAAGTAGTGGCAGAGCGGCACAGGCCTCTTAGGCGTAGACACAACGTAGACCTTTCGCTTCTTAGTGCGACCGACCCAATCCGCGAACTGAAGAGTGTTGGGTACTGTCGCACTTAACATCACAATGCTGACGTGCGCGGGAAGTAATATTAGCACCTCTTCCCAAACGTAACCTCGCTGTGGAATAAGTATTTGACAGTGAACAAAAAAAGACTTATTTAACTGAAGACAGATAAAGGGTACACAATACACAGATGCCCTTTTGGATATCACACAATATTACGAATTGTATTTTTGTATTTGCGCTTACCAGATGGCGCTACTGGAGATTAACAACCTGTCTGATAAATATTAAGGCTGAGTTGCACCACCTAACTTTGACCGTATAACTATAACGATAATCGATGTTTTTTGTATGGAGTTTGATAGATTTTTGACGTTTGTCAAAGTTAAACTCAGATGGATAAGTGATTATTTTTATTTTTTCCCGCAATTTCTTAGCTCAGCTTTTAAAGCACTAACATCAGTTTATCCTTATTCGCATGGGGGTGCTACCCAGCTTTTGGCCTAAGGGGGGCAAGTCAGATTTTTTTAGGTCAGATCGTTTGATTTAGCTCCTTTAAAGCGAAGGCAGCGCTTTTAGGCGAGTTCATATATTTTCTGTGAGATTTCCAAGGTACTTCTGGGTACGCCCATGCCTATTCATCATAATAATATCCTCGGCTATTGAAAAATATTCCCAAAACGATTCTAATTAGAAATAAACCCTGGAAGTATTACCTCAGCATTGTTGATGTAGTGGACCTCATCAAAAATAACAAACTCCAAATCCCTAGTAACGTCAGAGCCACAATACAGCATGGATCGCAGAATTTCCGTGGTCATCACGAGGCAAGGGGCGGTCGCGTTGATTTGGAGGTCGCCCGTCAACAGACCCACTTCGCCGAATTGTTTGTTGAAGTCGTTGTACTTCTGATTTGATAGCGCCTTGATTGGGGACGTGTATATCGCCCTGTGGGTTTAAGTTTTGGATAACAGTGAGAATGACTCACTAAAAAAAACATGTTTTATAGGAATAATGTGTGTGTGTATGTTTATCTCTTTTATAAGAAATACATATACAAAATTATAGGTAAAATGCATAACTCAGACAGTGCCTGAGGTATGGGAGGCGGGAACGGCACGGAAGAGGTAACATTGACATATTATGACATGAGAAAGCACACAAATCTGAAGTCTCGCTGACGTTTGTCCGTCACCAATGCCACTCCGATACCTCAGTGGGTCTAGACAAAGTGCAAATTATAATCGCAAACCAGTCGAAAAGTGGTCGAAAAGCCCCTTTTTTGTATGGAGTTTTGACGGATTCGATTTTCGATTCGATCAAAAAGTGCGTTTTGTCTAGGCACGTAGGTATAGTTCCAAAATACTGAACTGTCCTATCCATGACATTGACAGTGGGGCGCCACCGTCAATACCGAATCGCTGGTTCCGATTTTTGCCATGTTGGAAACCATAAAGTTGAACGATGGTAGCGCCCCCCTGTCATTGAGTTTGGTGGGACAGTTCAGCGTGGGTCATCTATACTGCTTGAATTAAGCACTAGACCTTTAAGTTGATGCATTAAATTGGCTTTAGATATTTACTCTGATAGGTGATTTATGGATCTAGTGTACCTAAATAATATCTTCGTAATATCTCTTACCTCGTACAATTTCTTCTGGACATGGCAATGGCATATTCAGCCACGACAGTTTTTCCAGCAGACGTGTGCGCTGCTACAAAAACATGGTGTCCTTCTTCTAACTTCAATATAGCCTAAAAATTCAACAGTGTTACTATGTATAGGACCACTCGTAATAAAATATGTTGGACACAAATAAGAATAGAACTTACAACTTGGTCGAGTTAACTGCGCAACTGGCGACCGTTAGGTCACAGTGACGCTCTGGTATGGACGGGGCGAAAGCGGGGAGGTTTGCGTGAGTGCAGTGGCGGGGCAAGACCTAAATTTGATGTGGGCAAGACAGATTTCGCGAGGCCTTGTTCTGTGGCGAACTGAAGACGGATTTTATATAAAAAAAAAACGTGTCAACGGTCTATTCGTCTATTCATTGACAGTTTCTGATTTCTTGATTCAGTGATTATTTTTAAAGGAATATTGCGACAAAGAATAATGTTCGTCACTTAAAACCGTGTTGTTGGCGTTGTTGCTTAATTTTGTGTCTGATTATGGCTGAATTTGTTTGGAAAAAAAAATATTTTTTTAACTACATTGTTTAGCTATCAAGAATTTATATTTAATAGTCAATGTTTGCATTTATTGTCGTATTGTGATATTGTCATCTCTACCTTGTATACATTTTTTCAAAATTTTTGATGCGCGAGGCCCCTTGTTCCGCGAGGCCGTAGGCGGTGGCCCACGTCGCCTACGCCTTACGCCGCCACTGCGTGAGTGCGAGGGAGAGCATTACAGCAAGGTGCGTAGTTAGCTCCATCAAGTTGTAATAAGCCAAACGAAGGTAGCAAAATGGTACCTGTTTCTGGAAGTTATCCAACTCAAACGGATAAGTGTGGGCCATGTCTTTAATTTTCTCTTTAAACTCAGGCACGGGCTGTGACACATCTATCATCTCTGCCCACTCTGTAGAAGTCACTCCGGTCCTTACGTTGGAACTGGTGATGTTTAAAATTGGTATTTTTGGCAGCTCTTCAGGTGGATGAATGATGGTGCTTTCGAGGAAGTTATCGTCTTCCCCTTCTATTTGCATTTCCACCTTTTTAGGTTTTGTTGCTTTTGGTTGCGGTTCTTCATCTTTCCATAGACCTTTTAAAAATAAGTAAAAAATTTTGCAAATAATACCAGGCCTGTTCATCTCCGNGGACGTCCGCTGCGTTTTCCGGTCCGTGGCCTCCACTCCAGAACCTTGCTTCCCCATTGGCCGTCAGTTCTGCGTACTATGTCCCTGCCCATTGCCACTTCAGCTTGCTAATCCGTCGCGCAATAAGAGAGCAAAGAAAAGTTAATTATTATTTTTTGTTTCAAGTATACCTTTAAGTATGACGCTGTCATGTTCGTCAATGTAGTTAAGTTCTCTCAGCACCATTAACCTTCTCTGGTAGTCTGGATAAAGGGCCAAGTTCTCGAAAGAGAGCAGCCGTTTGTACTTGTCTCGCTTCCTCTCGGTTTGCTTGCGTTCATACACGATTGCAAATTCGCTCTTGAAGTTCGCTATGTCAGTGCATTTCTTTTGTACTACTAGTTCGGCCTGGAATTAAAAAAAACTTTAGTAACTTACTTAATACTTTATTAAAAACCGTAGATAACTAACCAGTCAGAGCCCACAAGTTCTAAATAATAGTATGTGTTAAGAAGCCGGTAGCTATCGTAGTATCAAAAGACGTCATATTGCCCTTGGCTAGAAAGTCAATCAATCCGCATGCCTTCCAAAAGATACCCTATTTTTAAAAATCGTTCCTAGCTTAGACTTGAAGCCTGATATTTTAAAAAAGTGGATCTGTAATAACAGAGATCCTATATCACGCCACATGTGAGATACTAGAGAGCTCTTGAACCTCTGGGAACCTTCTTTGAACCATACCATAAGCTTGTTCATCTTGTCCAGGGTCTGCAGTATCTCCCCGGTGGATATAGCCATGGACTGCGTGAGGCTAACGTGTTCTAAAGTAGTGGCGCCCGTGCGAACCGCGTGCGAGATACTAGAGAGCTCTTGTACTACGCTGGCGCATGTTGAACCTATAGGGGCGTCTTTGAACCTGTAAAAGAAAATCAAGTCAGTATTAAGGACGAAGCACCCTTGTCAGCGTAAATGGATCGTAGCAGTGTCAGCTTGAAGCGGTCGGGCACGCACTATCCGCACCGTAACTTAAACGCTTCGCCTATACGGTACGATGCGGTGTTGATCCCTTTCCGGGTTGATAAATGTGCTAATGAACTTTATAGACCACGCCGATAGGAACTGTAGGTACTTTTTCCTAACAAAAGTCTGGTAAAACTAACCTAGGCATTTGTCGCTTTTCCCAATCCTGAATGATAATGTTGACGTCTATTTTTAAATTCATTTTCGTGATAGCGACTATGTTTTTAGGAGCTATGCACAATATTGTGTGGTCCATAGTGCTCTCTTCAGTCCCTATAAAACAAAGAAAAACCAATGAATTTCGTATATTTATTATTCACTCTCGCTGTAACAGAGGCTTACTTGAATTACTATTGTGCGTGAAAGGATAAAACATTTAATGAGGGTTATCGTTTTTATACTTAACAGTTGGCACCCCTGGCGATTGACAGGACCTTACTCTACAGTGGCGCCATATTGATGAGTCCTCCTACCACTTCAGCGCTCACCAGTTGGTGCCACTGTCTTCGCTACTAGCAAGTGACAGGATCTTACTCTACAGTGGCGCTAACTGGTGAGCGCTAAAACGATAGCCCTCATTAAGTTGGCACTGAAATATACCATTTTTATATCTTTACCTATTCCATCATACATCGTGGAGAAACTCAGCATTCGGAACCAGTTGTCGTCGACTTCAAAGTTGTACCTTGCAGGATCTTTCTCGGCCGTGTTCAAAACCAATACTTTGTATGGAGTTTGGCGAGGACCTGGAACATTATAAACGGTATTAAGTAAAGTGACCGAGTTTCTTGAGCTGCTTCTTCTCAGCACTGGCCTATTTATTGTCCCGAAGCAGTGTAGGATTAATACTGGGACGTGTAAAAGAGCGTTTTTTAAAAGCTTACTTGCAAAAATAAAATGAGTTTTAATGAGTTGAGTTTTATCCAAGTCCCAGAAAAAAATCAATTTTATTTATGACCTGTCAAAATGCAAATGAAAAAAGATTATGACGTCATATCACCAACTCAGACGAGTTCATTTCAAAGTGACAAAATACAATTTTGTATTTAATACAAAACTGATTGGGTTTTAAAGCTGAAATGAAGTGCTTTTCAACTAGTATGTCTTATGAGATGAATCTCTTTTTTGAGAGTAAAGAAAATATTAAGATCAATTACTCACCATTGCCATTTAAATATACTCCCAGTTGGTTGATATACGGCCCCGCGGATATCACCAGGACCTTTCCCGCGACCATTTCTTTGGTGACTTTCGATTGGTTCAGCAAAAGCGGCATTATGTCGTTCAATACATCGATATACCCTGCAGCTGTATCGTAGAACGATGCTAAGGGTGCTAGATGGGAGGGCAATGGAGTGCTACACTTCTCAGAGTATTCTTTTTCGGCGAGTTGCAACTGTTTTCTGTGGTTGTCCGCTTGGCATATCTGGTTGAACTCGCGGAAGGATCGCTGCATCATGCCTTCTACTGAAACTGTCGCTGCCCTGCAATCAAAGTTTTTCTTTCAATTTGAAAGGTGGCATTTTATACCGTCGGTAGCCTCGTAAGCCGGTTGCAGAAGTTTAGATTACGTCGGATAACTGACGCAGTTGTTCATAGTGTTTGCATAGTTCGCAGTCTGCACACAACTATGGAAAACTGCATTAGCTATGCGAGCTAACTCTTAGCTTGACTCCTGCAGGCCTATTACGACCTCTTAATTCCAGTCAGTGTACGCCTTAANTTATACGAATCATATTTAAACAACTTTTGACAACTTGCAAATAATAAGTTATACATGTGCAAATGATTAAAAAAAGAAGAAAAAAAATCCTGAATTTTATTTGTTGTACTTAAAAACTAGTCCTAAGTAACTTAGGTATTATGCACACCTGCAGGCCTATTATGATCTCTTAATTCCAGTCAGTGTACGCCTTAAACTAAACTGCCTTGCGTTTCCGTATTATGATCCCTTATGGCCAGCCAGGCAGCGGTCACGTGACACTTGACTGACTTCTGACTGGAAGTTGGCTGGAATTTTCGTATTACGACGGTCAATTTGACGTTTGTAGCCTTGATTAGTTGTCAAAATTCGTTTCAATTAAGCCATTCAGTTTTCGTCGTCTTTGATCAACTTTTTGTGACTTGTTTTGATATAGTTTTCTGTTTTATACTAATTTTACAGTTTTACGTTATAACATGACTCAAAAACGAATAATAGGGTAATATAAACATGTATGACGAGTTTGTAATTTTCTAAATTCTTGAAAATGATGCTAAACTTCGAAGGCAACTTGGAGACCTCTGTGACCCTTTGCTATTTGATGAAATGCACTTTACACTAAAACGTTTGTAGTAAAGGTTTAGTAAGTAAACAATTAGTTCACGATTGGTGCAAAAAATTGAGACCGCATATTATTGTGTTGTGGCTGAGCTCGCAAGGGCTTCGAATTTATCACTTGAGAGATAGGCAAAAACCCAAGTAAAAACAGAAATAAGTACTTACTCCATTCTCAATAAAATTCCATAAAAGTTTGCTTAGCAACACAAATTAATTACGTCGTCGATGCAACGCAATCAAGTAACACCACACAATAATAAGTATTCGTGTCACTTGTACACACGAACATTCTCCTCAAACCCATCACGTCATCCGGCATAATAACAAGTACACTGTTATTTCTATTCCACCTAAGTTAAGCATTAAAAACAAAGGTATAAGTATCAAGACCCTACAAAGGCCCTCAGTATTAAAATTTACACAAGTATTTACGTTACTATGGACAATCACACATTCGGTTCTTCATAAGCACCATAGGGTTCCGAACCCAAGAATAGCACACAAATCTTACAGCATCATACATTAAGTATTACATTCCATTTCAATCTTAAAAGTTTTGGTTTAATGACTACGAGGATGTTTATAAATTTGTTTTTTGCGGGCTCAGCAAAATACACGTGTCGTATCGTTCAGAAATAAGTATAGTGCTTTGTATAGCAGCCGTCAATATAATTTTTCTAAGCGTTTGCTAACGAATCTGAATAGATATTAATTAATTTCATCGCCCGGAACATTGTACCCCACTCCGGTGTCGCTATCTGCCGGAAAATTGCTACCAAAGTTTGGGAATTTTTTGATCGCAACAAAATGGCCGACGGCTCAGCCGCCATCTTGTTTTTTGATAATCTGTGAATGTATCTCTTAAGAAGACTATACAAGTCACAAATACTCAAAAGAAATTTTCAAAAACAATTGCGCATCTCGGAGTGACACCTCCCTAAAAACACCTCGAAATCGCATTTTCAATCCAAGATGGCGGCTCGGCCATTTTGTTTTTCCATTTTTTTCTCACATTTTTTAACACACCTTGGCAACCCTAATAAACTCCCAAAAAGGAAAAAATTCAGGATGAAAAACAAAAAAGTTGGAGTTTCAAAAAGTGCCGCCATTTTGTTTTTTGGTTCAAAAAAACAGGGTGTTAGGTAAATGGGTATATGAGCCGACACTAGCCCATGTTAACATGGTCATATAAATGGTATGGTGAAGTCAGAAAATTGATATCTTCATTTTAATTATTTTAATTTTCATACAAATCGTACTTTATAAAATTTATTTTGTATGAAAATTAAAAATAAATAAAATGATGATATCAAATTTCTGACTTCACCATACCATTTATATGACCATGTTAACATGGGCTAGTGTCGGCTCATATACCCATTTACCTAACACCCTGTATTGGTTATCACACAACATACAACTCGATCGAGTTAACCCCGCACCTGGCAGCCGTGACGTCATATCGACGCTCTGGTACGGACGCGGACGGGGCGAACGCGGGGAGGTTTGCGGGTAAGTGCGAGGGAGTCGAATTCCAACGAGGTGCGCAGTTAGCACGATCGGGTTGTAATCAGAGCCACCAGTTGGCGCTACTGGCGATTAAGGACCTGTCTCCGAATTAAATGCTG